TGCTACTAGTCATGTTAGATTCTGTTTTCTTTTTAAAGGAAAAGTGAATAGCATTTTAAGAGGAGGGAGGGAGGGATAAGGAGGAGGAAGGGGCAGGATTGGACGATAACGCTGAAATGAAATTTTAAAAAGTCTTCTTTGAGTTAAACTCAACTCCTAAAAGCTTTACCGAGACATTCACGTAAAGCTGGGGTTTGCTGGTTTTGGCAGCATTAAGCGAAGGCTAGGGTTGTTAAATGAACGCTGCGGTCATTAAGCAAATTCATTGTATCCAATTGGTGGGGGGGGGGGTTTTGCTAGAAACTACAAATATTCCCCAATTTATGGCAAAACATGTCATAAATCGCAGTCGTGTGACCGTAAGGCACTGCAAATAGCTGTAAATACAGGCTGGCTGTCAAACACCCAACATGAGATCAAGTGACTTTGAGGCTGGGAGGGGCACCTGTCGGAATTTCCAAAATCAGGTCATAAGTAGCTGCCATAATAACTTGGAATTGTCATAAGCCGAGGACCCCCTCTACACTGTTTTGTTTGCTTTTTCCGTTTCTGGTCAACCAGAATTCCCTCTTAATTTTCCCTTCCACAAATTAACTAGCTAAGACACCGTTTGGCTTTGAAGCTCAGATAGGGGCAAGAATGAGAAGGAATCACTGGAAAAAAAAATATTAAGCTGCTTAGGCCCATTGCAGCAACCGGGCAGTCCGGTAAAGTGTCGACTTGTTTTTAAATTGCAAGGATTTGTTCTTAAAAGAAAAGCACACTTACTCACATTAACTCTCCCAAAGGTGATTTTTCAGGAGGCAACTGGACTTTCTTGTTTTTCTTTGAAGACGTTTGAAGGAAGTCCACTTGTCTCCTGAAAAAAAACACCTTTGGGACAACCATGACCTGGAGGACAGAAAATCTCCATAGGCCAGGGGTCTGCAACCTTGACAACTTTAAGACTTGTGGACTTCAGCTCCCAGAATTCCTCAGCCAGCATAGCTGAAGTCCACAAGTTTTAAAGTTGTCAAGGTTGCAGACCCTGCCATAGGCATTAAATATCCCACTGTGCTGAAACTCAACAGTGACCCCTAGTGGGCAGAAGAAGCATTTTATTGAGAGGTCCTTGTCGCTCTCTTGAGCTTGGTTTGCTTCCGTAACGTCGTTTCATGACTCAAACTAGGTTAACATTATCAGTGATAACATCATCAGTTACCTAGTTTGGGTCATGAAGCATCTGCGAGAAAACAACCCAGCTCAGAGAACACCAAAAACTCCAAAATCCTCCTCCTCCTCCTTCTTGCACTGATGATGTTGCCTAGCTGGGTCATGAAATATCTGAAGGAAACAACCCAGCTCAGAGAGCATCAAGAACTCCACAATCCTCCTCCTCCTTCTTGCACTGATGTTGCCTAGCTGGGTCATGAAATATCTGAAGGAAGCACCAAGGACCTTTCCTTTCAACCCAGAGCTACAAGTATTCTCCTTTATTGGAACCATTTTATGATCAGAATCGTATTTCAACCCAAGCCCAACCATCTTCATAATTGGGTATGTGGCAATTTATTGACAGAATAGCTTCCCTTCCAATCCAACCAATTACAAATGCTCGTTATTCATCACTCTGTCCTTCCAGGACATTATCCTTAACAGAGCTCCTTAATGTATTAGACTGTGGTCGGAATATGATTTATTCTCAACTGCTTCTGAAGAACCAGCTGTGGGGCTCCATCACTGGAAGTTTTGAATCAAAGGTTCATCAATCAATTCTTTCTGGTGGTTTGAGAATTCATAGCCTGGGCAGAGAGTTGAATCAAAAGACTTCAAGGCTCATGATTCTGTGAATCAGATACCCTTGTCTCCAGGAAGTAACTCACATGCCAGGAACAAGAAACAGGAACTAAAAAAAAAGAGTCAAAACTGAAAGCATGTTTCTGCTGGAAACCTTTCAAGAATTGATTCCTGGTGTGTTAGGACTGCAATTCCCTCCAGTTCCCAGCTACAATGCCCATAGTTCCTATCACCATCTAGAGCAGGGGTCTCCAAGCCTGGCAACTTTAAGATTTGTGGACTCCAACTCCCAGAATTCTCTAGCCAGCTATGCTGACTGGGGAACTCTGGAAGTTGAAATCCACAAGTTACCAAGTTTGAAGACAGTTCAAGACAGTTGTATCTTCCACGGCGCTGCTAGAGTTAGTTCTCCCATCTGAAGTAAATACAGACTGGGATCACATGACACATGATTTACGCAATTTATTGTATAAATCAGATAACTGGGTTTGCACAAAACCTGACATTAGAAATCACAGTTTCCATACCCCAATGACTGAATCTCACACAACGTGCTGTGCAACGTGGGAAACCCAATCATATCCTCGGTTGGAGTTCAGTGCAAGTAGATAACACAGATACATCCCATAATATACATCCAGACCAGCCAATGTACAAGGAAGCGATCAACGTCGGAGAAATGATGGTACAATATTTACAACTCGCTCTGCTATCAAGGGATAACTCCAGAAACTACTACACAGCCATTTCAATTCTTTGGGCTCCGCAATGAATCTATATGACTGCATTTGACTGTAAATGCAACATCTGTAATTACAACAAACTTAATCAGAGAGAATAAGATCAGCAGCGTCGTAGAAAAATATGGAATTTGAAAAGGGCCATGAGATCATTGTAGTGCAACAGAAGCACCAGCTACATAACTTGGAAGCTCTGACAAAATGCAAATCTTGTTTGCAGCATCCTTGACTTGAAAAGCATCGTTGCATTCAGACCTGAAATATTTTTAATGTTTGATCTGAACAGAAAAGAGGGGTGTGTGTCTCTCTCTGGGAAATGCTCATTGAGCATTTTGAGTCCCAAAAATCATTGGTATGAACAACAGGAGGAAATCTAGAACTCCAATATAATCAAGATTTAGGGGAAATAATTCAATTTGGAAGAAAGCCCGGCTCCTGATCAACATTTGTGAAAAGTTCATTTTGCCAATTTGTGGGAACCACACGTTACTTGTGAGGAAAGTTCTATACAAAAAATTCCAGTCATGTCAGAGGCACCTTTGCAGCAGCACCAGTTGGATATCCAACCATCTCACCAATGAAAGGGGGAAGGAAAGAGAATTTTCGTTATTTCACAACAAATAATGTATAACGTATTATGAGAGAATTTCCCCCCACACACACACCCCAAAACTGGCAACCGGAAGTTCAGGCTGAATTCCAATTTCAAAGTCATTCAAACACATGATGTGCATGATTTTCAGCAGCCATAAAAGAGGAATGATGTTACTGCAATGAGATCTTTCCTTTGCAAGACATTAAGGCAGTAAATTAACAGGCTGCCAACAGAAAGACACTGAAAATAGCAACTGATCAACCCAAAGAACATGTGATAAAACAAACTGTAAATTTCAACATGGAGACATTTTCGGATGGCAAATAATATTGTTAAGACTCTGAAATTGGCCATAAATGTATTACATCTTCATCCATTAAACAAGTAAGTCTCATTCTTAAGGGAAATCATTCCTTAATAGTGAATAACAGAACTGCATTCAAAATCATGGCATTTGATAAAACTCAGTATCTAATTTTAGGGGGGCGAAATCTTACATGAAAAGCTACTACAGAGAGTAATGGTTGAACTTGGCATCATTGTTCTGCCATCAAACGAAATAAACATCCGTTCCAAAAACACCTGCGTTTCTTAGCCGTTAAGACCAACGGTTCCCATGTCGGATCGAATCCAAAAATTGATCTCCTTCCAGAGGATGCAGGAATCCAATCCGTTCACTGATACTGGAAGCTCACAAATTACCTTGATATTACCAACTCTACTGAAAGCATTATCTAGAGGTGGATTCCAAAGTCATTACTATTTATGGAGCAAAGAGTCAGTGTACTCAATTGCTCCTCTTGCTGGTTTTCCCAGCTCTGCTAAATTTTGCGACCCCTGAAATCACAGATTCATACAAACAAATTTTTTTCCATCCCACCCATCCTGTCCAATTCAAACAGGGACTTCTGAAAGGTTCTGTCTTTGAGGCTGTACCACACCCACAAATCTTCCTTTGTCAGGCAGCAATTCACACCTCTTAGTCCTGCTTGCCCTCCCGCCACTGCCGGGAGCCTTCATTCCATGCTACGTACACAAAAAGAGCAAGGACAATGTGAACAGCAACCACGGCAACAATTGCAGCATAAAAGTAGCTGTCTCTGTTGGACATTCCAAAGGTACCTGGAAAAAAAACAACAAAAAGACAAAAAAAACATTGAAAACTTACATAATGTGTACAAACAGATTAATAAAGAATGCTCTTCCATGTTTTGATAATTGAAGATTGTGACCTAACCAGTTGTAAAATATGTCTAATGCTCCCCGAAATTATTTCAAACCCGCATCATTCAAAAATAAAAAGAACAGCTGCTTAACACCACGTAATAAGGTATATACATTCTTTATGTTTTAGTTAAGAGCCCACATTGCAATGTTGCTCAGACTTGGCAACTTTAAAGATGCATGGATTTCAACTCCCAGCGGGTCCACACATCTTCAAGTTGCCAAGAAAGACAAACACTGCTGTCACGTAGGGGACCCAGAGAGATGCAATGAAAAAAATGGTATTATAAAACAAAGACAATTACCTTCAAATAAATACGCCTTTGTTGAGAAATACAATCCAATCGGTAACATAATCATTAAAGCTGTGAAGAACAGCAGGGTCCTTAGCGTTGAGGCTAATGAAACTTCACTTCTACGAAAAAGCAAAAAAAGAATGATGTATCAAATAGAGCAGAGCAGTTGCTTTAGCACGGAATATTTTAATTTTTTTTAAAGTACTGCCAAGAAATTGGGTGAAATCATGCCCTGGTTATCATCTACCATAGATTAAAACGTTTTCAGGCAATGGTTTTTTGCAGAGGAAACTAATTTGCTCCATTTTGAAACAGGGCCTCCAATTAATCCCTCCTTCCTTCCCCGCAGGGCTGAGCTGGAGGCTCCCCCCCGGCCCAAGCGCGGCTCCCCCGTCCTCACCGGGCCTCGGGGGTCGAAAGCGCGTTCAGCGACGCCTTATCGTAGCGCTCCATGGCCGAACGCCGCCTCCTTCTTCGCCAGCCAAGGGAGGACGCGAAGGAGGCCCCTTCCGGTCAGCTGACCGCGCCTCTTCCGGCCTCTCGTCTCGCCGCTCGTCACATGACCAGAAGGTGGCGAATGGGGGGCGGGGGAAAAAAAAAGGAAAGCTTCTCACTGGCATGGAAATTCCTAGAGAGGCTTCCAGGGGAAAAAAATATCTGCAGCATAGAGAGGGAGTACCAGAGCGTCCCCAATGCTTCTTTTCCCCCCCCACTCCCCCCCACGTGTCATTTGTAAAGGGTGCGATTCCAGCTTCCAGAGTTCCCAGCCAGGCTGGGAATGATGGGGGTTGGAGTCCGAAGGTGTGATGGGAAGCGAGAAGCTTCTGCTCTGCTGAATAGGAAGATGATAATAATTTCAGTGTTATAATAAATTAAATCTAAGTCTAAATAAAAGAAGAAACAGGGGCGACATGATAGCAGTGTTCCAGTATCTGAGGGGCTGCCACAAAGAAAGAGAGAAGCAACCTGGAATTAAGGAGAAACTTCCTGACAGTGAGAAGAATTAACCAGTGGAACAGCTTGCCACCAGAAATGGTGGGCGCTCCATCACTGGAGATTTTTAAGAAGAGACACTAGACAGTCACTTGTCTAAGATGGTATAAGTTCTGCTTGAGGAGGGGGCTGGACTAGAAGACCTCCAAGGTCCCTTCCAACTCTATTCTATTCTAAATGTCTTATGCCACCCAATTCCCAGAGACTGGTGTATGGGGGTACCATATAAATGCCAATTTGCCATCCTGGCAGGTGAATGCAGAATTGAATCTGAAGTCTTGCATTGTGTTTCTTGGGATGGGCTCCTCTGTGCGATTGGGATGACCTTTTAAGCACCCCAAATAGGATTCAAGTTGGCAGAATTTCCTTTGCTGAGTCGTGCCCAATTTGAGGACCTTTTTGCCAGAGCTAAGGGAATCACTGCAATTGTTAAATGACTCGTGCCATCCTTAACTGAATCCGGCTTCTCTCATTGACTTTGCTTGTCAACGAGCCAACTCGGAAGGTCACAAATGGCGATCATGTGATCCCAGGAGGCTGCATTGTAAATACCTGCCAGTTTCCAGGCGCCCAAACTTTGATCAGGTGACCATGGGGATCCTGTGACAGTTTTAAGTGTGAGAGCCGGTTGTAAGGCACTATTTTTAGTGCTGTTGCAACTTTGAATGATCACTAAACAAATGGTTGAAATCAACTGTTATCTGTGTTTATTTTGAAAGGAAAGGGAGAGAAAAGGTAGCAGCAAAAGGGCAGACTGACTATGATGTCCCCAAGAGTTGGGGGCATATAACTTACGTACATTTTAATAAATGTGGATCTCTACAGCAATAGAAAGAAGGGTCAATCAGAGGGTGCTCCCTCCTGAGATTGATCTATTGCAGTGGTGGCGAACCTATGGCACGGGTGCCAGAGGCAGCACTCAGAGCCCTCTCTGTGGGCACGCGCGCCGTCGCCCCAGTCCTAGGCCTTCAGCTGGGTTTTATAAAACCTTTTTGCTTTAGGCCTCCGCCGCATGTGCAAAAAAAAAAAGGTTCAATCAATCAGTCAATTTCAACTTCTCGCGGGGAAAAAAAAGATCTTGCAAAGTTGGAATTGATTGATTGAACTTTTTAGTCCCACCCAGTCTGGCGTTACCACCGCAGCCACACCCAGCCAATGGGCCACACCTACCCAATGGGCCACACCCAGCCAATGGGCCACACCCACCCAGCACCCGACGATGCATAAGTGGGTTTTGGGTTGCAGTTTGGGCACTCTGTCTCTAAAAGGTTCGCCATCACTGATCTATTGCAAGACTCCATCTATCAATATGTCTTTCTTTAGATCTGTCCATGGTGCTGATCTCTATTTACCAACAAACATGGAATTGTAGCCAGAAAGCTCACTTGGAATTAGAAATACAGTAGGTATTCCAAAGCCAGCGTGTGACTTGGGGTTCCATCTGGACGTAAGATTCCTGCTTAAGGAACAGGTGGCAGCCTTCATGTAAATCCACGTTATGTGCTAGTTGAGCTTGTTTTTGCATTAGGGCAGGCATGTCAAACTGCCGGCCTGTGAGCCAGATGCGTCACGCCGAAACCGCGCCCACCCCATTGCCGGCAATGGGGAAAAAGTCGCAATATGACATGCGACATCATGTGACATTGAGAGTTGACATGCCTGCATTAGGGGGTCCTGTTCATGACCATTCACTGGTTAGTCATCTCCCTTAGTTGGATTTCTGTAATGTACTCTACTGGGTCCTTCCCTTGAAGACTCAACTGGAAGCTGCAAGTGGCCCAGAATGCAGCAACATGGGTAGTAAAAAGGCACATCTCAATAACTGTATAGAATGCCACCATGCCATGGGATGCACTAGCTGATAACGTTTCTGAGTGCAACTCATAATGCTGGTTATCATTGCTTAGCACAAAGCTAACTTATTCGTGGTATATCTCACTAATCTCCACAGGGTGGGTATGGCTCCAGATCCCCTCTTTAAAGCCACATCAAGTCTTTTAAAGGACCCAAGGCAACGTTAGAGCTTCATAATGTACATTTTATAGGCTATTCATAATCTTTCAAGGAAAACCAGTCTGAGATTGTGTCCAGCTTTGCAAATGACGCTCTTTAAAGCCTGTATCATCTAATGTAGCATTTCCCAACTTTGGTGACTTTTAAGATGTGTGGACTTCAACTCCCAGAATTCCCCAGCCAAGTTACAAATGGTAAGCCTGTTAAATGGGGGTTAATTTCCACCATCCACCTGTTCTGCTTTTTAACTGAGGGTGCTTAAGCCGCAGTGGCCACATTACTGGCTGAGAATCAGAATAGAAATTATTCTGGTCATTGTTTTAGGGGAAATGAATGTATGGAAAACCCAGGCACAATCCCAGCACCAATTGTCCTTGAAAGATTATGAATAGCCTATAAAATGTACATTA